TTTTTTTTTTTTTTTTCTGTGCTAGCTCCTTCCGCTACCTTCTCTGCCTTGCTTCCCAACTGGCACTGACTGAGCGTGCTGCCTTGTAATGAAGTGCTGTTGCTGTTGGTGGTCTCTCCAGCATGTGCCAAGCTGGTTGTGTGCCTGCTGGCAAATGGGGTCATGCTAAGCACACATGTTTTCCTTTGCACAGATTTATTGACTGAGCAGGAACTATAGAAGAATCTGGAAGAACTTTTAAAAAAGGTCTATTGCAAAGCAAAGGAAAATTGTTTGGGAGAAAAAAAAAGAGACTCCCAATTCCTTGTTCAGCTTTGTCTGCAATGGGAAACTCAGACACTCCTGCCAAGCCAGATTCTGATTCTTCCTTTGTTCACGGGCATATCAGAAATCCGGGACTTTCATTGCTAGTGGAGGTGATTTGTTTTTGAAGTCCCTCAACGTTGGAGGTTTTGCCACCTCAATCTGTCAGTTATACAGGCAACCTGATCTCAAGTGTGAACTCAAACCACACCAGAAAGAGTAACTGTGAATGCTGCAAACCCAGAGAAATCAGAAAAATGAAAGGAATGTCAGGCTGTAGCCAAGAAAGAAATGCAATGGGTGCAGTATTTTTAAAGGGACATTTTGTCAAGATAGAAATCACATTACATTTCTATATACTTGTACCTATAAAATATATAGTTCAAATTTAATCTAGTTTAATGGACATTTCTTGAAGCAGAGGCTGAGGTTAGGTGTGTTTTGTGACCTTCTACAAAGCTGTGCATGTGATCAATGGTTAATAAACTGGCAATTAATAATCCATTCCTGTATGTGGGGTTACCAACACTGTAGTGATCCCTGAGCTCAAATACAGGCATACAATGAATGAGAACTAAACAACAAACTTCAGTTGTATTACAGATAAAATGAAGCTTTCCAAATGCAGCACAGCATTTGGGGACATGTTGCCTTCCATAGTTTCTGCACAACCAGCTGTTTGCACACTCTTGCTTAGCAGTCTCCTTGCCAGTGGGAAATTCCCCCCATGAGATGACTTCTTACCAGCAAAAAATCCACCCCACACTGTGAGGTGACTTTTTCTGGCCACATTCTTTCTTGCCTGCTGCTTGGACAACCCTTTTTGGTGCATTGTCTGGCCTGTCATAGTTTCTGCTGCCATGTACATTTGGATAGCCTGTTCTAGAGAAGTGTGCCTCATGCAATAGCCTTTCTTGTAATGCACTGTCTTCAATGTTGCAAATAATCTCATCTCTAATCAGAGATTCTATTTCCCAAATGCACAGTTTGTACTCTGCCTCTTTTCCGATCGGTAATATGCTGATCTATACTTTCTCCTGTTGTTTGTTTACATAGTCTGTGTTTTTCAAAGGCCTCATTCTTTTTTGTCAGTGTTCCTCAAATTTGGACAGTATTATAAATAACTACATATTTTCTTCAAAGATAGAGGTGTTTATAAGCAGTTAGGGCTTCCTCTCCCATGGGTTCATTAGCGGCAGGTCCTGAAAGACCAACCTGGTGGCCTTCTACAACCAGGTCACCAAATCCTTAGATGCAGGGGTAGGAGCGGACATAGTCTTCCTGGACTTCCGGAAGGCCTTCGACACTGTCTCTCACCCCATTCTCATTAAGAAACTGGGGGACTGTGGTGTTGACACCTGCACAGTCAAATAGGTTGCCAACTGGCTGGAGGGCTGCACCCAGAGAGTGGTGGTGGACAGGTCATTTTTGACCTGGGGGGATATGGGCCGTGGGGTCCCCCAAGGCTCGGTCCTCGGGCCCGCACTGTTCAACATCTTCATCAGTGACTTGGACGAGGGGGTAAAAAGCACCCTGTTCAAACTTGCTGATGACACTAAGATGTGAGGGGATGTGGGCACGTTAGAAGGGAGGAATGGGCTACAATTGGACCTAGACAGGTTACAGGGGTGGGCAGAGGAGAATAGGATTGGATTCAACACTGACAAGTGCAAGGTGCTGCACCTGGCGGGGAAGAACCAGCACCATACCTACAGGCTGGGGAACTCCCTTCTCGTCAGTGCAGAGGCAGAAAAGGATCTTGGAGTCATCATCGATGCCAAGATGAACATGGGCCAGCAGTGTGGGGATGCAGTCAGGAAGGCCAACCGCACCTTGTCATGCATCCACAGATGCGTCTCAGGCAGGTCCAGGGAGGTGATCCTCCCCCTCTATGTGACACTAGTCAGGCTGCAGCTGGAGTACTGTGTCCAGTTCTGGGTGCTGCACTTCAGGAGGGAAGTGGACAACATGGAGAGGGTCCAGAGAAGGGCCAGAGAAGGGCCACTCGCATGATCAGGGGGCAGCAGGGCAGGCCCTATGAGGAGAGGCTATGGGACCTGAACCTGTTCAGCCTCCACAAGAGAAGGCTGAGGGGGGATCTAGTGGCCTGTTACAGACTAGTCAGAGGGGACCAGAAGCCATTGGGGAAGCCCCTGTTCCCCTGAGCACTACCAGGAGTAACAGTCACAAGCTGGCAGAGGGTAGACTTAGGCTAGATATGAGGAGGCGCTACTTCACTGTCAGGGCGGCTAGGATCTGG